GAGTCTTCATTAAAAGCTACAGTGCTGACATCCCACAGAAGCAGGGCAACAGCTAAGAGTGACAGCCCATCAGTGAAGGGCTGGTGTGACTGCACTTAGCAAGCAGAACTTTTAAGAAAGATGGGGAGGCACTCCCTGTTCTCTTCTCTGGGCCCCTGAAGCACAGATTCAGTTTTCATTTAGTGCAGTTATTATACCTTAATTATCACCATTTCCTTGTTTTTTGATTCTACAAACATTTGCTGAGTGTAGCCTACTCTGTGTCAGGCAAAAATCAGGCACTTAACTGTTGGCAGAATGAACAAATGGAACCTTCCTCAGCCTGTGAGAGTACAGTGAGTATGTGCAAGTGTAGGGGGTAAAAGTGTAGGATTGAAAAAAAAAAAGGTGTTGCTTGAGCTAAATTTGAATATGAGTGGGAGTTACGCCAGTGGATAAGGAAAAAAAAAAAAAAGGCATTCCAGGAAGAGGTAAAAGCACATGCCAAGGCATGGAGCTATATGGGGACTCCATCATGACTTAGATGGTATGAAGCCAGCCTGGGTGCTGGATGGAAATAGGTGAGGAAAACTGCCTTCACATAAGAATTAGCACCAGCTCAAACAACTAGTCTGAGATAGTATGCTTAAAATATTTGTTTAGAAGGGAATATGTATTTGAATTTCAGGGAGGGAAAAAAAAATCCTCAGAGATTTGGATAATTGGATATTCTGAGGCCAGGAAGAAAGGTGGCCCTGAAAAGTACCAGCGCTGACCAATGAGAACATTGCTTGGCCTTAGGACCCAACAGTAAATTCTTCTCCACAACCTAAGAGCTGGCAAATGGTGACTGTCGTGAATCATTGGGGTTTTCCCTCTGGGAGACTCATAAGCCTCAAAAAATAAACAAACAAACAAAAAAAAGAGAGTGAGCCAGTTAGCCCACGTAATGCTGTTTTAATGAGAAGACCCCAGTAAGATAAAACACTTCTCAAAATCAAGTAGAGATCATATGTGTACAGGGCTTTGTAAACTGTAACAGAGCTACCCAAATATAAGGTTATGTCATTATTATCACAGGAAGGCAAAAGTGTGGCCAGTTCACTCAAAGCATATGGGGCAAAAGTAATTTTGGCAGAGCAATGCCAGTGGGGCTAGAACGTGGCTGCCAGTGGAGATGCAGAACAGCAGCGGGTTTCAATGATGCCTGGGAAAAGGCATACTGATTCCTGTAGATATTCTGTAATTTCCCCCTTATTTTTCTTACTCTTTATAGTAAATGAGTAGAGAAATGCAGGCTGACTCTATGTGAACTCCTTCAAGGGCAAGGAACTCTAATATTTATCTAGCATAGAGCCTGGCAAGGAAGTAGCACTTAGTAAATGCATGTGGGTCTCTGAGGAGATTGCTGGAAAAGGGGAGAAGGGGAGAATGGAGAGGAATATTATAATAGGAAAAATAATCATGGCTCTGGCTGGACAATGATGGACTTGGTTTCTTGGTCCAAAGCTGGTAAGCAATTCCTGTCAGAACTTGGTCATTAAGATTGAGGGGTAGAGTGGATGATATTCTCATCAGAAATGCATCAATTGATTTGGGAAATGAAGATAGTAGAAACCAAGCAGCGCTGCTGGAGAGAAGCATTTGGGATTGAAAGATAATAGATTGTGGAACTAAAAAAAAAAGAGAAACTATTTGCATAAATATAATCCTCTTAAGAAAAGGTGTAGTGGAGAAAAATGCAAGGAATGTGGGAAATAGGCTGGGGAAGGTCTTACTATCCATGTTTGATGAAAAGGAAGCACTGTCAAAAATATGGCAAATGTTGGAAGGAGAAAACCATAAGAATGTGGTCAGAGAATATGTGGAAGATCAGAGGTTGAGAAATCCAGACACATGTGCATACACTCAACTGAAACCATTCTCTGTTTTCCTTTGGAGAGAGCAATTTAGAGAAGATTAAGGCCACCTGGTGACATCCTTCACAAACATTCTGGAATGATTTGATTTGTAGACTCATGTTCTGATTAGGGGAGAGTTAGACAGTATTCTTAAGATTTTTGAGGGCCAGCCCGGTGGCGCACTGGATAGTGCGCCGCTTGGGAAGCGCGGCGGCGCTCCCGCCGAGGGTTCGGATCCCACATACAGACCGGTTCCTGCTCACTGGCTGAGCGAGGCGCGGGAGCAACACTGAGGGTTGCAATCCCGTTGCCGGTCCCCGGTCCGGTACGGGGGCAACACTGAGGGTTGCGATCCGTTGCTGGACACGGAAAAAGACAAAAAAAAAAAAAAAAAAGATTTTTGAAATCATAATGTTTACCCAAAGGTGGACATTGAGGAGGTGATATCCAAAGTTTAAGATCTGGGGAGCACCTAGATCCACCTAGCCATTTTTCCAGGGTCATGAATGGGTGTGACACCAAGAGCCCTCAGTGAAAAGACCAGTTAAGGAATAAAACCCCAACAACAGATCTCTGAATCGGAGCAAAGATCATATATGCAGGCTTGATCCTTCCGATTTTGTTTTTAAAAAATATACCCCTGTTTATTTTGGTCTGTTAAGCTGATGAGAGAATACTGAACTAAAAGGGGCTTATAAACAACTTTATAATCGGGAGGTGCTAATCAATATAAACCTTTGTCAGTACCATACCCATCCTTCAGGCAGCCATTGAGTTAAAAAAAAATAATTTAACTGGTAAACTAGGTTCTTCTATTTTCTCACTAGCTTGGTCTCTCTTCTCACTATGTAATCCTAGAAGCCCAAGGAAGCCACTTCTATTAAAGGAGGATGTCACTAGGTTTGGCGTGTGGAAGAAGGGAACAACAGGGAGCCAGAAACTCTTCCAGAATGGCTCTATGATGAATCCCATTGCTTAGCCCTCTCACCACTCCATTTTTGAACAGAAACCAGTGTCTATCCTTGGACCCAGAGTTAAACCCTTGGGACCAGCTGTAATGAAAACGGTGGGGGTGGGGGTGTAGAGACCAGGGGGGCATCACTATGTCAGGCACAGACCCTTTGCACTTGCCAGATAATGGACTCCCAATAAGCCTTCTTTGGCTCAGCACCTTTCTTCTCCTCATGCAGAGGCACTGTTGGGCAAAAGTGTCCTAAGTAGTATCTGTGAATTAGTGTCCTCTGTTGCGTGTAGTCAGAGGGCTACAAGGACAGTGTGGATCATGTTTTCTAAGAGTGATCCTGTCTCTCCTTCCTCTCTCCCAAGGATTCTGCAACAGGGAGGGTGGCCTTGGAACACTCCATCCTCTGAAGTCCTGTCAAAGACCACACCCAGAGGCCTCTCCCAGACCCAATCAGGTCCAGAGCCACCTCAAGACATCATTACAGTCAATGAAGGAAGCCACATCCTGAAATTTGGGGATTCAGTGAAAATCAGTTCGTGCCGCAGTCTCACCTCCAGTGAAACTGTCCCAATCCACTTGTTTAACCATTACATTTACTGAGCATATACTATTGTAAACCTTTATGCTTGGCATCTTAATTAACTTATTAGCAAACCATCCATTTTTTCTTCTTCCTCTCCTTGATACTTTTTCCCAAATAAAATAAGAAAAACAGATTTCATAATTCCAAGCTTCATGATCTTGGGTAAATTGCTAAACCTCTCTGAGCCTCAAGTACCTAATACTTAAAAGGGGATAATTTCACAAGGGTATTGTATTGTATTATGTATGTTTAAACATCATATAACAGTGCCTAATATAGTGCCAGGCACATTGGTGCTCAACAATTCTATATATCATTTATGTCTTCTTTCAAAGGACTTTCCCCCTAGGACCTGCCAGAGCCAGTCATTCCACCTTACCTCACAGCTTCTTTCTGGATGGTCAAGCCCAGGGCCCCAAGTTTCCTACCTTTGCTTCAGAGGCCTCACTGGTCCTCTCCTCCCTGGAGCCCTGAGCTCTTACAGCACTTCCTGCAGCCATTAAAGTCCAGCTTGGAGCCAACTGGGCTGCCATGGAGAAGAGAAAATTCTTGTGGAGGAGAGGGGGTATGTACAGAGACTGCAGCGTCGCAGGGCCCCCACCTCTCTACCATGTTGAGGGGAGACAAGTGGGGGCACATTGAGCCCTACAGGGAGGTCAAGGCCAAAGTCCTTAGAGCTATGGGAAGTCACTCATGGATCCCATGGCAGGATGCCCTCTCCTCAGTCAGAGGTTCCTTCCGGGCAGTTCTAGGGCACAGTCTACGGTCCTCCTTCATCTAGGGGTCCTCTGTGGGGTCCATCCCCACCACCGGCTCCCGAAGCTCCTCTATGTTCACAAATGGCCTTCCACTGAGCCATCTCCCAAGACCGTCCTTGAGCTCGCTCCCTGGGGTGGTCCCCTACACACCGGGGCTCCCCATGACAGCAAGTGCAGAGAGCGCTCTGGGCGTCTCCATTCACACCGGGGGGCCTTCCATGGGTGCGGCGCCCCACACGCCTCACGGCCACTCCCAAGGGGTAGAGGCGGCAGTCACTCGGGGTTCATCCACTTACACAGGGGCCACGTTGGGGACGGCGCCCACATAAGCACCTCAGAGTCCCGGGAGGACAGTCTGCGACCCGCAGACCGCCCCTTAGGGTGACGGCCCGGCCCCCGCCCCCGCTCCCGCTTACCGGGACCGTCGGGTGCGGGAGCGGGTCCGAGCTGGCGGACTCTACACCGTGGGCCCCGCGCTGCCCGCCGGCGTGCAGGGCCGAGCGCCGGGAGCAGCGGCCGGCTCTGCCGAGTGGTCGGCCTGGGTGCCGGTGGGCGCCCCCCGCGAGCGCCCGGCAGTGCGGCGCGGGGACTGCGCCAGCCCGGCTGCCCGTGGCAAGGTCAGTGCCCGCCCGGAGGAGGCGACCCGGGAGGGGGTGCCGTGGGGGCTGCAGCCGCTCACCACTCCGGCCTGCGCCCGGGCGAAGACGGGGTCCGGCTGGATGGTGCCACCAGCAGGTGCCTGGGATAGAGAGAATGGGTCATCTAGCGGGCCTTACAGATCTGCAGGCTCAAGACCCTGGCATTGGGGCACTTACCTTCGCAGTAGCCCATTGACCTCAGGAGTGTCCAAAAACCTTCACAAAGTCCTTGTCTGGCCCAACCCGCCCTGTGCGCTGTTTTCTTAGATTATTGGTCTTGCATCTCCAGCAGCAAAGCTATGCTATCACGTAACCCACTTTTTGCGGCAGCAGCCTCATCCCTGAGACTATCCAGCCAGCCAGCTTGTCAGGAGGCCAGCAGTTCTCAGGGCTATAACGTGCATTACACCAAACTGTACGCTTGAAGTGGGCAAGAAAAAGATCAAGTCATAAGTCACCTACCAACTAATTATAAGGAAAAAACTGAAGATATGCAAATGATACGCAGAGAACCCTTTTATTAAATTAATTGCATTTATATTTCCAACGTATCTTCATTTTCTTGTGAATTCAATTTATATATCTCAAATGTAATTCACGTCATCATTTTTTGAGCATCTAGTATTTGTTAGGCACTATGCTAGGTGCTGTGGGGAATACAAAAAGGAACTCATTTTGTCCTTAACATGGAATGTATCAATAGGGGATAAAAAGCAAGTATAGTACTATATATTGCTATCACTCTAAAACACAAAATGTCAGACACTATTCTAAACACCTTAAAGGTATTGTCATTGATTTTCACACAATCCTTTGAGATCTGTTAGTTTGAATATTTTGCTGGTGATGAAACTGAGGCACAAAGAGGTTAAACAACTTGCCTAAGGTCACAAAGCTAATATGTGATGGTGGTAAGATAGAAATCCAGGTATTCTGACTTCAAACCCCAAGCTCCTAACCATTTTACTGTACTGCCATTAAGAAAGGGGGGGCTGCTAACCATTAATATATGGAGTTCTAAAATTAGTACTTACTTCTCAGGAGCCACTATCCTTTTTTTGCTTGTTGTGAAACTAACATTCAAGAGCAGATTGAGCTTTATGTCTGGGGGTCCCCTAACCTTCTTTAAAATTACATCATGCCAACAATTCACAGATAGGGTTCTCTGAACTGTTTTTAACAAGTGTTTTATTCCTAGGCTGTTTGACAGGCTTATATGGAAGAGGAGACTGCAATAATATCACCATAGAAATCTCTGTTGGCTAATTCCTTCCTTCATTCAAAAAAATGTGTATTGTGAATCTGTAGTATGCCAGACATTGTGCTGAGAACTGGAAGGAGTACAAATAAGAGTTAGACACAGTATTTTCCCTCCAGGGGCTATAATCTCAGAATAGACAAGCGTTGGCAGAGAACCATAATCATAATACAAAACAGAAAACGAGCTGTGCTCAATAAAGGAATGACATGAAGTGGAAGTTTTCTGGTAGGAGAGACAGATTACTTCAGGAAGGGAGGTGCTTGGGTTAAGGAAAATGTATACTGACCATTTAACTTATTGTTGGTATTAAAATATTACAAACAGTATAAAAATTTATCAAATTCATTTTTTTATTACATGCGAAGTTTTTCTCATGTTCAGAAGAGACAGATTTTTACTCTGTTTTAACAATTATTCAGAATATGGAGGGGTTAGTAAACGCAAACTTTTTGGAGATAGTTTACTTCATCTCCACATGTGGAGGACACAGAATCTTGGCTTTTTTTTCTTCAGCCTATAAACAGAAGTTTTCTTATCCTAAGAAACTTCTTCATTGACTCGTCCTGTTTCAACCACTGCCTAATCCCTTTCCCAATTTAAAAAAACTTTATTGTTTAGAACAGGTTTAGCATAAGAGAAAAATTGCAAAGATAGTGCAGCATTCCCATAAACCCCAAATCCAGTTTTTCCTGTTAACATATTAGCATGGCTCATTTGTTACAATTAATGAACCTGTATTGTAACCTTATTATTGACTAAAGTCCATACTCGATTAGATTTCCTAACCTTTTCTAATGTCCTTTTCCTGTTCTAGGACCCCATCCAGGACACCACATCACATTTAGTTGTCATGTTTCAAGGTTCCTCTTGGCTGTGACATTTTCTCAGACTTTGTTTTTGATGACCTTGACAATTTTGAGAAGTACTGGCCAGAGATTTTGTAAAATGCCCTTTTTGGGACTTATTTGTTATTTTTTGTCATGATTAGCTGGGGTTATGGATTTTTGCGAGGTGACCACAGAAGTTAACTGTGATTTTCATCACATGATATCAAGGCTACATACTATCAGCATGACTGTCACTGTTGATGTTGAGCTTGATCACCTGGCTGAGGTAGTGTTTGTTAGGTTTCTCTACTGCAAAGTTATTCTTCCCTCTGCACTCTCCTTTTTCATACTGGGACTCTTTGAAAGGAAATCACTGTGCACAGCTCACACTTAAAGAGCAGAGGAATTAGACTTCACGTCCTTGAGGATGGAGTATCTTCATAAACTATTTAGAATTCTTCTACATGGGAATTTGTCTTTTCCACATTTAAAATTCACTTTAAAAAAGTGCAGTAAAATTTACTTTTTCGGTGTACAGTCCTATGAGTTTTGAAAAATGTGTTGAGTCATGTAACCACTCCAAAAATCAAGATGCAGACTAGTTCCATTACCCCCCAAATTCTTTCATCTGTTTCTTTGTACCCAACTGCTCCCAGCCCACAACCCTTGGAAGTAACTAAGCCATTTTGTTTCTGTTGCTTTGCCTTTCCCAGCACTGTCTTATAAACGGAACTATACAGTATGCAGCTTTGATTCTGGCATCTTTCATTTATCATAATACATTTGAGATTCACCTGTGTTGTGTGTGTCAGAAGTTCATTTCACTTTAATGGGAGGTAGTATTCCATTGCGTGGATGAACCATAGTTTATCCATTCAGCAGTTGAAGGACATTGGGACTGTCTGCAGTTTTTGGTGATTATGAATAAAGTCACTAGAAACATTTACATACTGGTTTTTGTGTTATAAATTTTCATTTCACTTGGGTAAGTCTGATTGCTGGTGGTATGGCAAATGTATGTTTGACTTTATAAGGAACTTACAAAGTATTTTCCAAGGTGGGTATATCATTTTGTATTCCTGTCAGTACTAAGTGAATATTCCAGTTGCTGTATATCCTCTCTAGCACGTGGAATTATCAATTTTTTGGTATTGTTTCCTTTTTTAGCCATTATAATAAGTATGTATTAGTATCACACTGATTTTCATTGGATTTTCGTAGTGACTAATAATGTTGAACTTCTTTGTCTGTGCTTATTTGCCATCCATTTAACATTTTTGGTGAAGTGTCTGTTCAAATATTTTGCCCATTTTTAAAAATTGGGCTATCTTCTTATCATTGAATTTTGAGAGTTCTTTAAATATTCTAGATACAAGTTCTTTTTTGGTTATGTGATTTACAAAAATTTTCTCCCAATTTGTAGTTTGTCCTTTCATTCTCTTGACAGTGTCTTTTGCAGAGTAAAGTTTTTAATTTGATGAAACCCAGTTTATCAATTTTGTCTTTTATGGGTTGTACTCTTGGTGCCATATCTAAGAACTCTTTGCTAAAACTGAGACCACAAAAAATTTTGCCCTATGTTTGATAGGAAAAGAAGTTAATAGTTTTATTGTTTACACTTAGGTCTGTAATCCATATTGTTAATTTTTGCATAAGCGATGAGGTATGGATTGGTATTATTTTGTAGATGGATGTCCAATTGTTCTAGCACCCTTTGTTGAAAAGACTTTCTTCACTGAATTGCTTCCACACCTTTGTCAGAAATCAACTAGCCATTATCATGGGTGTTTGCATATGTCCAAATTCATCAAATTGTACAAATTAAATATGTGCAGTTCTTTGTATATCAGTTTTACCTCAATAAAGCTAAAAAATCAATTGGCCATTTTTGTGTGGGTTTATTTCTGGACCCTCTATTCTGTTCTATTGATTTATGTTGCTATCCTTTTATCCATGCTACATTGTCATATTCATTAGTGTAGCTTTTTAGTAAGTTTTAAAATCAGGTAGTGTGAGTCCTCCAACTTTGTTCTTTTTCAAAATGGTTCTGCCTTTCCATATATATTTTAGAATCAGTTTGTTGATTTGTACAGAAAATCCTTTTGGCATTTTAATTGAAATTGCATTAAATCTTCAGATTAGTTTGGGGAAAACTGTCATCTTAACATTGATTCTTACAATCCATGAACATGGTATATCTCTTTATTTAGGTCTCCTCTGATTTTATTGATATTTTGTAGCTTTCACATATAGATTCTGCACATATTTTGTCATATTTATACCTCAGCGTTTCATGTTTTTTGCACAGTTTTTGTAATTTCAATTTCCAGTTGTTCATTGCTATCTTATAGACATACAATTAATTTTTGTATTGTCCTTGTATTCTGTGATCATGCTAAACTCACATATTAGTTATAGTTTTTTATTTTTTTTTGTAAATTCCTTGGGATTTTTCATGTAGACAGTTGTAATGCCTGTGAATAGAGGCAGTTTTATTTATTATGTTCTAATCGCTATGCTTTTAATTTCTTTTTCTTTCTTTATTGCACTGGCTAGGATTTCCAGCATAATGCTGAATAGGAATGGTGAAAGCAGACATACAATGATAGGGGAAAAGCATTCAGTTTTTTAACATTAAGTATGATGTAAGCTGTAGGTTGTTTTTTTTGGTTTTTTGTAGAATCTCTATCAGGTTAAGAGATCCTCTAGAATCTGAGGATGACTCCTAGCCAACAGCCAGTAAGAATCTAGGACCTTCAGTCTTACAGCCACATGGAAATGAATTCTGCCAGCAATCCAAGTGATCTTGGTAGTGGATTATTCCTCAGTTATATTAGTGTCCTATTGTAACAAATTACCACAAACTTGGTGGATTAAAAGAACACAAATTTATTATCTCGAGTCTAGGGGTCAGTAGTCCAAAATGAGTCTTATGAGGATAAAATTAAGGTGTCATCAGGGCTGTATTCCTTCTGGAGACTCTGGGAAGGATCCATTCCTTGCCTTTTCCAGCTTCTAGAGGCCACCTATACTGTTTGGATTGTGGCCCCTTCCTCTGTTTTCAAAGCCAGAAATAGCTGGTTGAATCTTTCTCACAATCACATCACTGTAACTTTGTCACATCTCCTTCTCTGATTCTTCTGCCTATCTCTTTCTCTTATAAGGACCCTCGTGATTGCATTGAGCCCAACCAAACAATCCAGAATAATCTTCCCATCTTAAGTCCTTAACTTAATC